AATGGTCAAGCTCAAGCATGAGATTTTCATCTAGAAGCGTGTGATTATTCCAGAATGAAAGAGTGGAGAAAAAACATATCGAACAATTGTCTTGCTTATTGAAAATGATGAAAATGTCTCTTGTGGAAAACCCTCATAAACTTTCCATGCTGCGCTGGTCAATCAGTTTTTCCCTAATTCAAAGCCCCGACAATGAAGAGTCTAGAAAGCGTAAATTTTGCACTGATTATGTGTTAAAGAAGAACTGATTTGTCTTTCTTCACTATTCTTTGAGTTTCTATCGAGAAAAAAAATCAAACTGTAAAGAGTTATAACACCCTTATCGCCGCAAGTAAAAAAATCCTTTAAATGGGCTTGTAACACAGGAAATCTATACGCACAGAAGCACAATGATGGTTTCATATCATATGCCTCAATTCTTGAGTATAACCATAAAGATAGCAAACATTTCAAAAAACATGTTTTATTTGGTTTTCGATAAGATAAAAATAGATTGTTCCCAAATTCTGCTTATTAGGATATGAAAAGTAATCAAAACGACTTTCACTGAGATTCCAAGACGTGAAACTTTTTGCTTAACACGGTGTCATGACATAAGAAACACAGATGTTGACACGTTTGTGTTCCCCATATATTCCTCTGCAGAATAACATCAGCAGATCCTGACTAATTAATTCTCATTCAATATTGGTATCATAATGCTTCGTCTGGGAGAGAGATGTTGATAGTCGGCTTCTTCCGGAAGCAACAAAGAACGCGGCACATGAGCAGACTAGCTGACTTTGTATTCCGGTGGTATAGGGCATTCGAAAAATCGTGACGATGGCGCACCGCACGCAACACGCACGCGTTTTCCGGCAACCGCATTTTTTTGGTTTTCATCGCTACTTGAACGGTTTTTCTGCTCCCATATGATAGCATTTACACACTGAAAGTGACTGAGTTGAGCTTTCAGACGATAAATGACCCATTCCGCTAATCACATATAATCAGGGTTGAGCAAGAGGTCAGGCACAAGTCTTTCCAAAACGACCCCCCCCCCCCCCAGTGAAAGCCCCTAAACGACCCCTCTGCTTCACCTCCAAGATCTCAGGCTGTGATAATTCGAAGAGATCAGCCGTTTCTGGGAGGTTCTTGTTTTTTGGAGGTCTGTAGGTCGATTTTCTGCGATTGCACAGCACACGCAACTTGACGGCAAGTTTTGGATTTTGGATAGCCCTACTTTTAGAGCTACAATTCCCACAGGGGTGTATTGTTTGGCTCCAAATTTGCAATATTGCAAGAAGAAACTTTGAGTTCAATACTCATAGCAGAAATGGAGCGATTTTTAGATTTTGAAAATAAGTTAATTGGGTCAGGCGCAACCCCTCAAAAGCTCAGGCGGCCTAATCTTTTGTGGGGTTGCGCCTGACCCGATTAACTTTATCATTGAAGAAGCTTTTTTATTCAAGTTTTATGTGAATCGCTAGCACAACCCTCGAAGATTCCACAGTAAGTGTTTGGACTTGATTCGACTTGTTTCGGCCTTGTGGTAATCCGTGGAGTTGAAGCAGTCATGACGAAAATGCACCGGTCGGAATTTTGGCCTTATTTCTTACTCCACTATTTGCAAGCGATACAAAGCGCGATTTTTAGCTTAGACTAGTAGGGAACAATACTTTGTTACGAGTACAAAAAAATTAACTTTTCTCACTTTTGAAAACAAGCTAATCATGTTTGAAAATCACGCTTTTTAGTTCATTGAGAAACACTAGATAATGCAGCAATGATGGTTTGTAGGGCTCATAGAGGTATTGACGTGCTACCCACTACCCGTGCTAATGATACCCATTCCACACAGCAAGCTTCCTTGATGAATTTATAATATGTCAAGGTAGAAGATGAAGATTTGAGTTTTGGCCGAAACTTCGATTGTGGAATCAATCAGTATGCTGTTTAAGACCGTTCATTCCTTCAGTACTAATAAGGTCGCGATATCCATTAAACTAGCGCTTTTCTTCTTCACCTTAATCGTAATATCTCCTCAATCGAACGAATTCGATTCCTAATCACGACCCCCCCCCCCCTCTGCCTTACCCCAGTACGACCCCCCAGGTCGGGCGCGCCTGACCCCACGCTCAACCCTGCATATAATCCTCAATAATAGTTGACATCAAAGAACTAGGCCATCACGCGCTATACTTGCACAACCGTATATGAAGCAAAAAATTGTTTCATTATACTAGTTTTCCGCGCGTGATAGATTACCAGGCCATTTTCATCGCAGGACAATTACTGACGCACATGAGTCGCGTTATTAATATAGACCAGATATAGTTTTCGCTGACGTAAAGAGCAGCTACCTTATTTCACCAACTAGCCATTATATCTTGCACAAGCATTTCAAGAAAAACAGGCAGCAAGTAATTGATGCGCATTTGCCAAATGTCCTGATCGCGATAGGCATGAAATTTGTGGCGAGCTTAATGGGACGATAAAAATGCGATTTCATGTGGACGAAAAGGTTTTCGTCAACAAAGATAACAAAAATCTATGCTTTTCGTAGACAAATAAGCTTTTCCTCTGTTAAAAATAAACACCAACCCGAGCGTCAGATGCTAAATAGATTTATTGCTACGATTAAAAAAAAACTCGTCTGTTTCTCGATTATAATGGAAACCTTAGCAGGGTTGCTAGGACGATAAGAATCTTAATGTACAAAAGAAACAAGCACACCTAGTAAAAAATTTAGTAAAAATAGAGATGACAACAACAAAAAGACTACACAATTTCAAAGCATCAAGTGCTGAAAGAGTTTGTGTGGCACGAAGCGATTTTCCACCAAAAATTACGAGTAAAAAAGTCAAAAAAAAAACATTATGAGAAGGGAAAGGAAGAGGTACATGCCTAATAATAATAAAGCGAAGAGTAGTGAAAGCATATCTAAGCATTAACGGATGTCAGGCGCACTCTTAATGAGAAGAGTTATTAGACAGACGCACTATGCCTTGACGCAAACTTGACAGATGTGAACAACGGCCAAGAAAAATTACTGACAGATCATACGCTCATAAAAAACATTGATTTCGCTGGAAAAGGCCAAGAATTCATTTTCCTCTACCACTTATAAATCATTCACCAAACTGAGGGCATAGGGGACTTTGACTTCCAATATGCTCAGACTGCAAATGAAAGCGTGAAAGCTGGCAAAACTCAGTCTAATTGTGTTACACATTAACTGAGGTACGCATGAGAAGCCTTTAGGGAAACTAAGGCTCAGCTATCATTTGTGTGCATGCATTCAATGGTTTCTGAATAATCACATGTTTAAAAAGAAGGCTCATTGTAATTCTAAGGGAATCCTAAGGCAAAAAAGCCGTTCGAAAAGGTTCCTGCTTCCGCACTGAAATATCTTCAACATCTTTGGAGAGAGAGTTAGGAGGTAACTGATATGACTAATGGTTATAAAAACATTGCTCTTGATTACACATGTGACGAATTTGCAGTTTGAGATGTGAGATTACAGATCGCGCGCGGCACTTCACGACTACGTATGGTCATGGCCATTAGATACTGTTACAGCACAAGAAACAGAGAAGTAGTTTAAGTTTACTCATGGCTCTAGGGATCATCTCAACCAAAAAAAGAAGAAATCCACTGAGAATCCCTGGAAAAGGCAAATAAGGAATTGGTAAAGCCGTGATTGCTGCGCACATACTAGAGCAAAGACGAGCTGGCTGTTTTTCGCCTAAATCACAGCTCAGATTTAATTGAAAGCTACCAAAAACCTCAGCTGCGGAGTGATGTTTACCAGCTGGACTCGTCCACAATGATACACACAGAACAGCCATGAACATGCGATTTGCCCCGTGCTATCGCTGGCCACCACATCACAGTTAATACCTTCGTACTGGTGCACATTGTAACACTTCAAAAAAGCAAATATATTGGGTTTAAAGAGGAAGTCGACCGCAGTCACGAGACCTAAGTTATTTTGAAAAGCATTCTATCAAAGAAAACAAATGTTATTCTCCAATGAAACAATGCCAAGAGCAATGTTCAGAAGAACTTGTGACCTTTGCTGAGGCAGAATAAGAACAGCCGCCTGCGGACAATGTTATGACGATGATGAAATGAGTCAGAAAATGAGGAATATTCAATGGCGTTAAGAATAATTCTGCAAACCACAAAAAGGATGAGTCAAACAGTGCGCTTTCATTCGACTGCAGCGAAGCTCATAAACAGGAGAACGACTAAAAATTTTCTCCCGTTGATTGAAAGAGCAGACAAAGTTAATGAGACTCTGCAGTAATCAATATCCAATGAGCAGGCTTGAAGGTCATTACTTCATTTTTTGCAAATAATAACTCCAAAACACTTTCTTCACCTTGCAGAATTTGAAGAAACTCACGAATGAAAATGAGAGGAAAGGCACTGGAAAGCTGCTGAAGCCGCTCAAAGAACAACTAAAAGTTTTTTTATGACAGCAAACATCATACTTCAAAGTTCACAAGTCAGCAGATGAAAAACTATGACTACTCAATCAACTGGAGAACTTATAATAGCCCAATTATTGTTCTCGGCAACAGAATATAGAAAAATACAAAAAGAGCTTAGAGCAATTACAAAGACTTTGTGCCTAACTTGTTAATGACTCTTGTTCCAAACTTAGAACTAAAATGACGCATAAATGCGAATCAAGAATTGTTTGTTGACCATTTTCGGTGGTTAGAATCATGAGAAAGATCTCAAGATAATCTTTCAGAGTGAGCTTGAGGAGATAGACGAACTCACTGTGATCATGCAAACATTGATAAAAACATCAAACCAATGAATTTCATTGACCATCTATGACAGGCTGAATGAAACAGTCGTTACAAGAAGTTCGCTTTTCTCAACCAAACTTACCATGTAATTATCATCGGAGATTGAAGAAAAAAGCGCAGAAATGTCAACAATCAGCCTCTTCATACTACACATCCAGAAAAAACAAATGAAAAAAAAAGAGCTCAAGGACTCACGGATAACTTAGGAGATGGCGTGTGGCTGCTACTAGCAGAGATTTGTGGATCAGAATGACCAAGGCCGGAGCGGAGCCGAGACAAGTTTGCCGACGATGATGAAGATGGCCAACTGCCTTCCACCGACGATTCGCTGCACATGCCTGAAAAAGATAAGATTATTATTATGAAATTAGTGAAAAGAACAATTGCATGTCAACTTTTGCAACACTGGCTGTACCTGTAAGATGAATTTTTCCGCTTACTAGTGGATTAAAAAGAAATAAATTCTAACCTGAAGTTTACTACTTAGGTAAGCATGCCCAACGCAACAAGTGCATCAGTGCTAGAAAAGAAAATTTTGGAACTAATCTCCAAAAGACGCTTAGCCATTCCCAAAAAGCACACCAGCGAAAGCCGATTTGAACTATATCCTCTGCGTTTCAGACAACTTGTCTTTTTCGAACCTCGAACTTTTACACCAGATAAGCAAGATAACTAGCGCTGGCTGGCACGATTTTACTGATACTTGGTAAACAAAGCAGGTGTTCTTTTGACGTATAACGCTGTCAGATTGATACTTAGACAGCTCACAAGTTGACCGAAGCCCATCTGCATGATACAGATGCCAAAGGTACAAGTCACCTTGGACGAGATAATCTAATATGTTTTTCTTTGACGGAAAAACTCGTTTCTTCAAATTTTTTCACCTAATCATCTGGTCTGGGCAAAAAACGCTTCCGAAACGTTCCTCACCATGACGCGGGGCAGCGCTGGGGGGTAGTAAAAAATGCATCACTAAAACTATTTCAAACTCATTTTTTTCGAGAATTAATGAGATGTAAAGACTGATGCAAGATTAATTCATCAAATTCGATCAAAATTCAACCTTCAAAATAGCAAAATCTAATGAAATACGCTGGAGGCAAGATGTTTTTCAGCTACTAACAATGCCGTACAGCTTGAAAAAAGTCAGATTACTGGGCTCAGGCGCGGCTTTGCCCGACTAATTGCATACTCTCTACCGCCGGACGTAAACCAGACGTTCCCACGCATTAGAGCAGCATTTGCAGCGCTCGATGAGTCAATTCCGAATCGATAGCAACCCGCATGGCACTCATAATTGAAAAACGGGGTATACATAGAAAGCAGCGCATTGTGACAAACGCACAGCAAAAAAAATTTCAGCATGTTACGAGCTAGGTTTCGGGTACGCGGTACCTTTCCAGTCATGAAAAAAACTTGCGAAATATAATGCCGCACTTAACATCTATAAAAAGAAGGGATTTTACTAATTCCACTTCCCATGGTTTTTACTGGGATAGACATTCCCAACGTACCGCACACTAATATTATACCAGAGTATTGTAGTTGTACAGTTGGAATATGATCGCGACATGTTGAAAACGATTAATTTACGTAATACCTACCGTAACCCTGATATACGGTAATACCTTAGTTTACGAAATGTCCGGAAGCATGATACCGCGGTAAAAAACTTACTTTTTGAACGGGATCGGTGTAACCATACTTTGGGCATACGGTATGTATACGATTACAATGAAGAAAACTACGCACGCCTGCTGTAACTCTCATATATGGTAGTTCACGAAACGTCTAAGCGCATCGTATACGGTAGGAGCACAGTAGAAATGACAAACGTAGATATCGTATCACCTACCGTATCCCTGATATACATCACTGTTTTGTTGTATGAAGAAATGATCAAGAAAGCCGCATAAAAAGCGTTTGTTTTTGCTGTGAGCATGTAAAAATCCGCTTTTTCTGCAAATTACAGAAGTGCTTCATTACGTTTTCCCTCCCCATACCTCCTCCCCGGCTCATTACGTAAATGAACGAGCTTATTTACCCCAAGAACCCTCACTAATTCAATCTTATCGATCTTCTGCACGCGTAACTCACTCCTCTTCATGGCGCTCACAGCCACCGATAGAAAGCGTGTGCTCATGGAACGATGCCTCCAAGCAGCGCTATCCGTAGATGACGAATACCAGCTATCGGCTAGAGACCGGTAAAGTCGTGGACTAGCCGGCGCCGTCCTTCGGGTCGATCCAGCACTTCGTGGATGGTGGTGCATGGTAACGATAGTGACGATGATGGGGAGCCAGTTGTGTTAAACAGTTGTTAAATTGACCATGATGCTATTGAGAAGGTTGTGAAAGGATGATGGTTCCCCAAACAGCAGCAGCAGCAGCAGCAGCAGTCTGCAGTGAGTGTGGAATAAGACTGCGAAGCGGACAACGGAACAAAACGATCGAGACACTGAGGACAAGGACAAATAACGGAGTTGGATAAAAACGCAAATTTTCGAGCGAAAAGATGCACGGGCAGTGATGGCTCTTTGAATGCACAAACTTGTACAAAAAAATAGCATATTTGAAAGTTTTAAGCAATCAAGGCAAAGGCAGAGTAATTTCCACTTCGTAGAAGGAAAAAAGAGATTTGCTATACCACTCAGCTAAAACATTGCACACAGATTTCACCTATAGCGAAAGCTCGATTCCATTTATAGATAGGCTATAAAATAGTTATGGGTAAAGTAAAAGCTGGGTAGGTAAAAGCCCTCGAAGAAACCTTTAACTACCAGTGCTGTAATATCCCTCAAAGCCAGATAGTTTTACGCAAGTGATACACTTTCGTTTTATGCTTGCTTTACTCGCAGAACTGGTTATACAACAGATTGCTGTACAAGCAATTTCCTACGAAGAAGTTTTGGACAGATTTTGTACAGCTTTAGCGAAATGGCGTTTGCAAAACTTCCGCATTTTAGCGTAAAACCCACGAGCGCTTGAAAGTGCGCATAAGTGAAGCTGCATTCAGACGAATCCTCTATTAACTAGCACAGGCTAGCTAGCATTTTATAGTCCAAGTGGTTGTTTTGCAGCGTTTGCAGAGTCGAGCAAAACATGTGGACGATCATTACAAGTTGGCGAGCAAGAAGCATGAGGAACCGAAACCAGAAAATTTTATTTTCTTCTGGAAAAAAGGACGTTCCCTATAGTGTTCCACAAAAAAAGATTGATCCCATTCGTCTACTGCAGTACTCCAAATATGTAAAAGTTCCTCATAAGTACAGTCGAATCATTTCATATGACCATGTGTGTCACTGCACACATTGTCCACCTTTAACGTCCCCATCCTGGATTTTGGGAACAGATATCCCTTCTGCTAAGTGTTTCCGATGTCTTCTTCATGCTTTTCCTCCTTCTTAGGTACCAAACTTCACAAAATGATGTAGGAAATAACAATCGGTCGCCCTCTTGCGTTTTTGCGATTGCAATTCCACGATAGGGACGCCAAAGGTGGACAATGTGTGCAATGACACACATGATCATATGAAATGATTCGACTGTAAATTATCATTATAATCTTATCAAGTCGCGAAAGTCAATAAAGACGTTATCAACGACAGTACTCAAAATAGTTGACGTCTCAAAAACAACTATCTGTTCATAGCTAGTGGCATATACAACGGCTTCTTTCATAAATTATATGCTACCGAGTTTGTCAGTTTTTTTTTGCTAGTGCGAACAGGGCCACATTTACGGTAAGAAAGGGGCAAAAATCTGCAAAAAGTGCGCCACCGAAACGGCAGAAATCCAGTTCAAGCTTCGCATAAAAATGCTACAACATTTTATGTCACGAAACTGCTTCGCATGAAACTGAAGGTGACTAGACATGCGTTATGACTGCGCTTTCGCAGGACAATATGCATCTGACAGATAAGTTGCACGTTTGATTGACTAGCCCATATGAAAGGCAGCATTGCTAGTCAGCCGTTGAAATTCAATGCAACCCTTCGAAGAAGTCCATGCATGGAAACGCAAAGCTAGTTAGTTCCTATGTAACCCAATACGATGCGGCCGGAAGGAGTGGTCGCTGGCTGATCAGGCAGCGACCAGCACCAACCAACGAGATCATTAAGATGCTGGACATGAGCGTGGAGAAAACGGTTTAGTGCCTCATATCCCGCATTCAGTGCCAATAAATCAGCTTTTAATTGACCTAAAGTTCTGCGGAAAGCTTATTCCTTTTAGCAAAGTAGTTTCCAAGGAGAATGAATGGAAATTCTGCTTTGGAAATACTAACAATACATACTTCTCTCACGGCTTTTGCCTTCAAGACCCAAAATGGCAAAAGGAGTTTGCGCTTCCCAAATAACTAGCTCTTAAAAGCCCGGTATTTGCGAAAATGTTGTGCAGTGCAAAGGCGACGCTTACAACACTTACAACACTTGAGCGTAAATTTGACGGCGGAATAGACTGCAAAATAATCAGAGCGATGACCAAATACATATTTCGTTACCTTTTCATGAACTTTCTCTAAATTTTGTATGACAAGTCAATAGAGAAGTCAAGTGATAAATTTTGGGTTACTACCTTTGAGCAAATGGTAGCCTTGCTTTGAGATGCTTGAAGGATGAAAGCTCCATGGCCACTTTTTCACGAGCAGATGTTGTTGGCAGTGCAAGTGACTACAGACAGCTTTTGCAATAAGTTGAATGATAGCAGAATCTTTTTTTATGACCAAATTCGTCACCCCAACCCCTTCTCATATGCCAAAGCCAAGAAAAATCATCTTATTTTGTGCAAGCATGATGCGTCTAGACAGGCGATATTTGCCAAATGATGTTTCCATCAAAATCTTGGCGTGATGTGTCGCATCGTTATGCTTTTTCGCTCATCCAGAAAAGTTGTCAACAAACATCACTAGCGCTCCAAAACGTCTTGGAAAAAAAAGACGTATAAGGCAGGTCTGAACTGTTCTTTAGTGCAGCATATGAGGCAAACCAGAGCCTTATTTTGGTTTAAATATGACTTGTACAAAAACATTTTTGGATAGGATCAATTGGAAAGCTTGAGTTATTTTGCGAACCAATATCAATTGTAGCCGAACTTGTACCTAAAGAAAGAATCCGATACTGGCATTTGAAGCTAATGCTTGCGATTTTATCACTGTAAAAACTAATAGCGGGTTAAGAATCACAGATAAAGCATCTAACAGCTTTTAAACCATCTTAGAGCAACATTAAAACTCAAAGGCATTTAAGAACCACTGAGTCTCCAATGCCCACAATGACGAGTGCGAATGACTCTCACATAAAGGAAAGAAGTGGACAAACAGAGCAAATGGAATGGTGGAC